CCCCCACCCCCCCGCAAGGCAGTCAGGGCACTAAGCTGAGGGGTGAGTGCGGAGCTCAGCCTCCACGCCCCTTGAAGCAGATGCCCTAGCGCAGTGAACAGACTGCACAGCTGTCCATGGCATCCGTGCTAGGAAGGAGAGACAGAAGCCGACAAACTGATGGAGTAAGAAGAGAAAAAGGCAGAGAATTTCTGACGATGATGAAGTCAAAAGGCCAGGCTGGGGCGGGGTCCTATTGCTGTTCTCGGGAGGGAAGTGTGGACCCCACCAACTCTGACCAACCGGGTGGGCAGGTGGAGCTGAGTGGGGAGAGGGAGGGTGCATCTGTATGGGAAGAAGTGAGCCTGCAGTGGGGGAAATGGGGGTCCCTCTTAGTGAGTAAACTGGGGGATTCTGTTTCTCCACAGCACACTTCCCCTGAGCCGCTTGCCTCGGGGTGTGTTCCCCGGGTCAGCAGGGCCTGGGAAGTGTGGGGCTCATTCTACCATTTTACACAAGAGGGGATGCAGGCCAGGCAGGCTGGGGTGACAAGCCTGGGGACACCCCAGGGTGTTGTGAGTGACACCCTGTACTAGAGCCTTTGGTCTCCAAGATGAGAAGGGGCCAAGCGGGAGACCGAGAAGAGAGGAGCCAAAGCAGGAGCGGGGGGAGGCAAGTTCAGGCATCTTGTCTCTTCAGCTGCTTTTGGCTTGAAGATGCACCTGGCCGGCAGCCCACGGTTCTGGGGGATCAGGTTCCCTGGGGAGCCCAGCCCCCTCCTACCCCCACTTCCTTTCCGTTAGCATCAAGGCCTCATTCCCATTCCCGGATCATCTTGGGGGTTCTTCAGAAATAAAAACAAGATTCAGCTTTTCTTGGAAATGATACTCCTAGGGTGTGAGGCCAAGGGAGTGGGGAAGGGGCCGGGTGGCCGGGTGGGGCTGGAAGACCCTCCTGGAGATGGCGCTGTTAACTGAGTGTACCATGCACTGCTTTTAAACACCTCACTGTAGTCACTCATTCACCAATAACGCCTGCAAGGAAGCCACTGCTGTCACCCCCATTTCATAGCTGAGCAAACTGAGAGCTGGGGCCACAGGGGCCTGGATGGGGTAGGAGGGGACCGCAGAGCTCAGAGACCCTTCGGCATTGCCAACTCCCAGGGCTGGAAGGGGCTCGGGAAGTCCCTCTGCTACTCACTCCCGGTCAGCCCCACTCCTCTGCCTTCCAGACAAATGGGCCTCTTCTGTCCACTCTGACCCCAGCCCCAAGCTCCTTTTCTTCTTCTTAGCAGGGGCTGGGCACAGCGAGGGTGCAGAGGACTCCAGTCAAGCTGAGCATGGAGAAAAGCTGGGTGGGCCTGTGTGGGGCTGGGGGACTGGCTGGAGGTCTGGGGGACTGACTGGGGGGCTGGGGGTGAGGGTTGGCAGGAGCCCAGCTGTTTTGCATCCGAGGTAGAGGAGAGAGAAGTGTCAGCTCATTCTTGACTGTAAACACATCCCAGTTCCCACGGCTCTGATCATTCTTGTGGCAGCCCCCACCCCCATCCCCTTCTCCTGTCAGGCCCCCTGCCAGGCTCCCCCCTTCCCCATAACAGGCTATTAAAGACAGACCCGTGGGATTCTGCTGGGGAAGGATGGAAGCATGGGAGGCCTCTGTAGGCAGCTTGGATTTAGAGCTCAGCTCTGATACTACAGGCTGTGAGGTCTTGGGCAGGTGACTTGCCCTCTCTGTGCCAGAGGAATGATAATACCTACCATCATGGGTTGATTAAGCTGTAAAGGAAATGATCGAAATGATGGATGCAAACCGTTCAGTGCCTGCACTGCCCCAAGCTGGGACAGGGGTCATATTGCTGTTCCTGGGAGGGAAGTGTGGACCCCACCAACTCTGACTGGGTGGGGAAGTGGAGCTGAGTGGGGAGGGGGAGGGTGCATCTGTATGGAAGTGAGCCTGCAGTGGGGGAAATGGGGGTCCCTCTTAGTGAGTAAACTGGGGGGTCTCTGGGCAGAAGGGGATACCAGTAGCTGTCTAGTTTAAAGCCCTTTAGGTCCAGTGCTGGTGGGACTGGGGGTGCTGGGGAAGGGTGGGCCAGGGCCTCCGTTTCCCAGCACTTTGTCTTGGACAAAGGTTCTGGTGAACAAGCAAGGGGTGGGGGCAGGCTGGGGTTGGGGCTCTCCTTTGGCCCCTGTTCCCTCTTTAGGGACTAAGGCTGCTCTGGCCACATCTTATCTTTCTTGCTGGAATGCCCAACCCATCTGGCCCTTCCCTGAGACCACCCACTGCTCGTGAACCCCACCCTGGCTTCCAGCCCTACCTCTAACTCTTGCCCTCCTACTCCAGTCCTGACTGGGTCCCTTTGGGAAAACAGACTCCTCCCACCCCTGCAGCCAGCTAGCCTCTGGCAGTGAGATCAATGGGGACTTTGAGCTGCCACCTCCTCCCCTCCCACCTGTAAGCCCCTCAAAGTCCCATGAACCTTTTCCTCCAAGAGCTGGTTGAGAGGCGGTGAAAGACTCCTGTTTCCAGGGCTGGGGCTGGTGTAAATGGGAGACACTTTCTCTGGCTTTGCAGCCCGAGCTATTGAAACATGGCCCCTCTGGGTGCCTCATCAGCTCAAGCCCTTCCTGTTGCAAGTTTTGTCCACCTCACTGTGGCTATGGGACAGATCCAGAAGCCTAGGGGTCTCTGTGTGGCTGTAGATGAGGTTTACCAAGGGGCAAGGGTGATGATCCCCAGTCCAGATAAACCAAACTCTAATCCAAGGCTCTAAGCGGGGAGGCAGGGTGGGGGGGTGTGGAGCACAGAGAAATCTGGGGGTGAGACAAGGAGTGTGCAGGCTCAGGGCTGGACCCATGGCCTGGCTGCCAGGCACACTTGAGGAAGGGTGCTGAGGTCAGCTGAGACTGGCTAGGGTTCACCCTGGAGGTGGGCCTGGCCCTAGGAATGTGGCCAGAGCAGGGCAGGGGTGCAGGGGGTAGTTTGAGGAAGTTGGAAGGAAGGAGCCACTTCTATTTGGGAGGGTGGGCATGAATGGGGTGCTGGCATATGCTCTGGGGTCATATGATGGCATATGAAGGACACCTCTGGGTGTGGCCTGGTTCCCTGAGGACAGGCCCAGTGTCCCCTCAGCATGGGCCACAGTGCTCAGCTGGGAAGGTAAGCTCTGGCCCTGCCCTCACCTGTCCTCAGCGCCCCCCTCACACACACACACACACACACACACGTGCACACACACACATACTCCTTGCTGCTGCCCCACGTCACCATTTAACCGTGATTCCATTCCCTGCTTTCAAACTCCAGACCCTGGACACACTTTGACTTCTTAGGCCACGGCCCAGGGTCTAGCAGGACCAGGGTCCCCCAGTATTTTTCAGGCTTCAGGATGCCATAAAGGCCTGTTGAGTTACTTGGGGGATGTGAACCACAAAGAAAGCTGGAGGTTGAGATTTGTTGGGGAGGGGAGAGGGTACTCTGTAAGGGGAACCAGCCAGAGGGATGGAGTGACATGGCTGCTCTGGGGTGGAGGGGTGTGGGAGGGGTTTGCAATGAAAGGGAGGAAACCTGGGGGGGGGGGGTAGGCAGGCTGCACAGCAGAGGAGAGAGTGGGGACTAACGTGGGCGTGGGCGGGTTACTAGTGGGATGGACTGTGGGGGGGAGGGGGCTGAGTTGGGGAGCACGCCTCTCACTGAAAACCTTGAGGGAGAAAGCAAGGGAGAGCTCCTGATTGGAGCAGTAGCAGCAGGGACCCTGGGAGTGTGTGGGTGGGGGTGCCCCTCCCTGCCCGCCCCCCCCCACGAGGGGTGGGCCAGGCAGCAGGCATTCCAGAGATACTCAGGGGGCTAAGGGGCCAGCAACCATGACCTTTCTCTCCTCTTGGAAAAATTGTAAGCAGATGTGGGTGCCTTGGAGAGGCATAGAGCAGAGAGCCAGAGCAAGTTTTAGGAGAACTTTACACGGAATCTGGAACTGGTGTGGGGGTGGCAAGCAGGGAGCCCAGCCCCTCTCTCCGGGCTCATGAACCCCATAGACTCATCTGAGACCCCCACCCTCTTCCCACCCACTGGGTGAGCCAGAGCCAGGGGGTGCTGGCCATGGGAGGAGCCCATTTTCAGACAGACTGGCCAGAGGGAGGGGGGTGGCTTCCCCTTAAACCTGAGGCCACGCTGGGGAACACATCGGTGCCAGCACCTGGGGCTGTCCTGGGGTGCGTGTAGAAACCCTTGAGCCTGGTTTCAAACTATGCATGTGACATGGCTGGCGTGGAGCTGGGGGGTGTGAGCAGTGGCTCTCCAGCGCCTGGCGAGCTGCGGACATGGCCTCCTCCGAGGCCGCGGGGACCTGGCTGACTCCTGCCCCTGTAGCAGAAAGCCTCTGACGCCAGAGGGGTTCTGACCTCCGCCTGCTCACACCCAGGGATGGGGAGCTCACCACCCCAGGGAACAGACTCCGTTACTGTTTCCAGTTTGAAACTGGAAAGTTCTTGCAGCCCAGACCAGCCCATCTTTCCCCCTAGCATCCTGCTCTAATGTCACACCTTGGCATAAAAAGCCAAGTGCCCTGGGTGGGGGCTGGGGGTTCAGAGGGAAAAAGCAGGGGTCTCCGTCTCCAGGTCAGTGTGGGGGACACCGCAACAGTGGTGCTCAGTGAATGGTGCTGGGCCCCCTCCAAGGGCTGGCTGGGTACAGTTTGCCTGTGGGGTTGGGGAACAGAGCAGAGGAGTGACATGGGCTAGACCCTGGAAGATGAACACTCAAGGTGGACATGGAGGCGGAGAGCACGCAATGAGGAAGTCTCAACGGTGTGGGCACCACCAGGTCAGGACTCAGAGTTAGGGGCGGGGAATTGGAGCAGGAAGCTCGTGGCTAGAGGGAGGACGAGGCTGGCAGTCTCCCCTTGGCCCACACCAGTCCCCTGGCCCACCACAGGTCTCTGCCATGGCAGCACCTCTGTGCTCTCTCCTCCTCCTGTCGCTGGGCGTGGTCCTGACGAGAACACTCAATCCCAGTGACCCCAACACCTGCAGCTTCTGGGAAAGGTGAGAAAGGCGAGAAAGGCCTCTGCTCCACCTCAGGGACTCTGCGTTTCCAGCTCCCCATTCTCAGCACTTGGGCTTCTCTGTCTGCTCCCTTCTTTGCCTCCCCCCTTCCTTCCCAGCTCAGCTCTCTCCAATCCCCACCAAGAGCTGCCTGACTCCACCCTTATCTCTGACCCTGTCTCAATCTCCAGGCTTTACCCCATCCTTTTTTTATCCCTGTCGTTTGGTCCCCCCTGAGGACAGAGGGCAGGGTGGGAGCCATTCCCTGTGAATAAGAAGACAGGCCAGCCCAGGAAAGCAAAGGGCACAGGGCTGGGGAACCAGACCCCAGGAGCCGGGAGCTGGCGGGATGTGCCACACATGCTCATCTCCATTAGCTGGGTTGAAAAGTCAGTTCTAGTTCATCTCCCAGTTGCAGGGGGAGGAGGGAAGAACTGAAGATCCAACAGGGTGAGGCGGAGGCTCTGAGCGGGTCACTGGGATAGCCTAATTCTGGAGGGACCCAGACTTGAGGGGACAGGGTCTTAACCAATCTTAGCCTTGAGGGAGCAACCCCAAATGTTGGGGTAATAATTCCCTGAGGCCCCCGCTTCCTGCAGCTCCATCATGCCACGGGCCACTTAGGTCTCTAGCTGCCCTGGGTCCTGACTCTGCTCCGTCTTGTAGCTTCACCACGACCACCAAGGAGTCCCAGTCCCGCCCCTTCAGTCTGCTTCCCTCAGAGCCCTGCAGCCGGCCCTGGGAGAGCCAGCGAGCCTGCCCCCAGCCCACGTGAGTGCTGCGCCCCCATGGCTGCCGGGTAGCTGTCTCCCCGGCCTGCCTGTCCACCCCCCACGCCCCCCACCCCATCTTTGTCTCTGATCTCCTTGGGGATCCTTGGGGGTTGGAGGAGACTCCTGGCCAGGGGTAGAGGGCCTCTCGGGCAGTGTGTGCCATGTGAATGCGTGTGGCTGGGTGGGACAAGGAGGGAGCGGGTGTTTCTATGGCGCCCCCAGAGTGCTGGCAGTGCCCAGGCCTCCCCAGGGCTGTGGTGAGCTGGGCAGGGGCTGGGCAGGGAGGGCTGAGGCCAGTTGTGGGCTCCTCCAGGGTTGTCTACCGGACTGTGTACCGCCAGGTGGTGAAGACAGACCACCGAAGGCGCCTGCAGTGCTGTGGGGGCTTCTACGAGAGCAGCGGGGCCTGTGTCCGTGAGTCCTGAGCCGGGCCAGGGCACGGGTGGGGAGACCGAGCTGGGAAGCGCCCAGCCCCCCTTCCTAGCTCCTCCCTGCTCCCATCTGCTCTTGGGGTTCTCTCCCGCCCCTCCCCACCTGTCCCTAGGTCAGTGAGCTTGCCCTCTCCTCTTGCAGTCTCCGTGCCTGTCTGCCCCACCCCCGCTGGAGGCCGCCCTCCCCTCTGACACTGTCTTGGCTGGGTGAATCTTCCGGCCCTTGTCTCCCTGTCTCTGTCTTTCTCTGACTTGACTGTGGCTTCCTGTCTCCACCCCCCAGCACTCTAAGCACCCCTGGCCTGGAGCCTGCTGTCCTCCTGTCCCCCTCTGTCAGCCCTGGCCCATTGCCATCCAGTGCAGCCCAACCAACCCAGGGGCCCTACCCCTCTCCGGACATGGCCCCAATGTCTGAGGAGCCCTCTCCCCATTTCCCCAAAAAGGTGATTTCACAGAAAGGGGCTGGAGAGTTGGGAATCCCAAGGTCTTGTCATGTTCTCACCTGAGCTGCTGCCCCATCTTTCTTGCATGTTAGTGGCAGAATTGATGCTTCACGTCTCCCCTTCCTGGCGTGGGAAGAAGAGGAGCTGGAGGTGGGGGCTTGGGGAGGGCGGGGCATCTCCTTACGCCCGCCTCTGCCTCAGCACTCTGCGCCCAGGAGTGTGTCCATGGCCGCTGCGTGGCGCCCAACCAGTGCCAGTGTGAGCAAGACTGGCGAGGTGATGACTGCTCCAGCGGTGAGTGGCAGGTGGCTGTGGGGGTGCCCTCTCCTGCTTCGGGGGGTGTGTCCCTTGGGCACACCCTCCCTACCAGGGCCCAGGTATCTAGGACCCATCGCTGGCGCCTTCTCCTTTCCCAGAGATGTGGTACAGGGTGGTCCTGGCTGGGCTTAGGGACCGAGGAGGTGGGGGGTGGGGACTAATGTGAGACTGGGGAGGGGTGAGACCCGTGGTGACCCCTTTCTACCCTCCTATCCCACAGCATGTGCCCCAGGAGTGTGGGGGCCACAGTGTGACAAACCCTGCAGCTGTGGCAACAGCAGCTCCTGTGACCCCAAGAGTGGGGCTTGTTCCTGCCCTGCTGGCCTGCAGCCCCCAAACTGCCTTCAGCCCTGCCCCCCTGGCCACTATGGCCCTGCCTGTCAGTTCAGTTGTCAGTGCCAAGGGGCACCCTGTGATCCCCAGACTGGAGCCTGCTTCTGCCCCCCAGACAGAACTGGGCCCAGGTATGGAATGAGGGACATAGCATACTAGTGGGGTCACGGACAGGACCACACAGGCCTGGGGGGTGGTATAAGGGGCTCAGACAGGGTCCCAAATGGGGAGGGAATTGGGAAGCCAAGAGCTTAGCCCCAGCCCTGCCACTCACTTGTGAGAGTCCTCGAGTGAACCACTGACTCCCGTGACCATGACATCCCGGGACCATGATGATTCCTGTCTGTATAGTGGAAACAGCATTGTCTGCCTGGAAGGGCCTCCGAGAAGACATGAGCTCGCATGTGTGTGAAATATGTTGTAATGTGGGGCAGAGACAAGCGCTCAGGTGCAAAGGGAGCTGGTTGTAATGGGAAGGAGGAGAGGCACCCAGGCGCCCACCCAGGATGCAGATTCAGGGAAAACTCCAGGGTAAGCCAGCTGCAGGCAGAAGGGGTTCCCCAGAGACAAAGAGGGGAACAAAGGTGGAGGCGGAGCAGAGGGCGTAGGGGACATGTGCTGGGTGTCCCTGCCACTTCCCAGTCCTACAAAGCCTTGGTTTCTGACTCTCGGGCCCCCACCACGGGAGGCAGAAAGGACCCACCAAGCCTTGAGGTCAGCCTTCCCCTGGGGTACACCAGTGTGAGTTGGCCTCGGCGGCAGAGGGGACGGCAGGTACTGCTTCTCTATACTCACCTGCTCTCTGCCCAGCAGCTGTGAGGTGCCCTGTCACCCAAGGACTGATGGCTTCTTCTGCCTCCACACCCATCCTTGCCACAATGGGGGTGTTTTCCAGGCTCGCCAGGGCTCCTGCAGCTGCCCACCTGGATGGATGGTATGAAGGGTGGGCAGGGTTTTGGGTGTGGGGTGGGAGTCTGGTGAGAATTCTGTTGGGCTCTGGGGTTGTGTGAGGGCTGGACTCTGACCCTGGAGAGGTCTCAGGATAGGGGGGTATCAAGGGCACTGGGTGCTTGGAGCTCTGTCCAGCCCCCTCACCCCCACCCAGGGCACCATCTGCTCCTTGCCCTGCCCTGAGGGCTTCCATGGCCCCAACTGCTCCTTGGAATGTCGCTGTCACAACGGAGGTCACTGTGACCGATTCACAGGGCAGTGTCTCTGCGCACCTGGCTTCACCGGGGACCGGTGAGTGGAGCTGGTGCGGGCAGGAGAGGGGGTGGAGGGCTGCCCCAGGAGGAGGTGGGGAGGTCTGGCTCACTAAGTGGATGCCCAGGTGCCGGGAAGAGTGCCCCGTGGGCCACTTCGGGCAGGATTGTGCTGAGACGTGTGACTGCGCCCCTGGTGCCCGCTGCTTTGCGGCCAACGGGGCGTGTTTGTGCGAACATGGCTTCACGGGGGACCGCTGCACCGAGCGTCTCTGCCCTGACGGTCTCTACGGCCTCAGCTGCCAGGCGCCCTGCACCTGCGACCCAGAGCACAGTCTCAGGTGGGCAGGGGGCATTTTGGTCAAGGGCCTGGAGGTCAGTGGGAAAGGCCTCCTGAGGCATGTAAAGCGTCCAGGCGCCCCCAAGGGCGGGGTGGGGGCCACGGAGGGAAAAAGGAGAGGCTTCTGGGCAGGGGAGGGGTCGCGCTCAGAAGACCTACAGTGTGGCCCCTGATTCGGTGAGCCCGGTTCCCAGCATGCGGAGGGACGCGGGTGGCCGTCCCGCGGACCGGGGCTCAGACCTCCCCGCATGCCCGCCTCCGCCCGCAGCTGCCATCCGATGAGCGGGGAGTGCTCGTGCCGGCCGGGCTGGGCCGGGCTGCACTGCAATGAGAGCTGCCCTCGGGACACGCACGGGCCCGGCTGCCAGGAGCACTGCCTCTGCCTGCACGGCGGCGTCTGCCAGGCGGACAGCGGCCTCTGCCGGTGCGCGCCCGGCTACACGGTGAGGCGCGCGGCTGCGAGAAGCTAGGGGAGCGCAGGGGCCGGAGCGCCGGGAGGGTGGGCGGGCTGGCGGGGGAGCCGGCCGCCCGACTCTAGCTCGCCCGCCCGCCCGCTTCCAGGGCCCGCACTGCGCTAGCCTCTGTCCACCTGACACTTACGGAGTCAACTGCTCAGCACGCTGCTCCTGCGAAAACGCCCTGGCCTGCTCGCCAGTAGACGGCACTTGCGTCTGCAAGGAAGGTAATGGGGCGGGTCTGCTTGGCGGGGCCCAGGGAGGGCGGGGCAACTGGTGGGCGGGCCGAGGGCGGCCGGGGCCGGGAGCGACAGCCGGTGGACTGGAGTCACTGGACAGCAGCTGGACGTTGGGAAAGGAGCCAGACGACTTCCTTCCCGCAATATCTACTTCGCTTTCTTCAACCACAAAAATCCTGCTTGTCCTTAAAGGCCCAGGCCAGAGGCACCTCTTTGGTAAACATTCCTCACCCACAGTCATACAGACAAGGACAGCATCCAGGGAAGGCCTCCAGGAGCCATTAGGCTGCATGCCGACACAGGTGTATTTTGCTGAGCTAACTTGCTACTTTATTTAACAAAATCCAGTGTCCAGCCCCCACTCCTCCCTCTTGTCTTACATATGACCCTGTTGGGGACTCTGTAAGCATTGGCTTTTACTACCAACCCTCTTAATTTTGCAGAAGAGGTAACCAAGACCCACAAGAGAGTGGCACATCTTCTGAAGTCCAACATCTAACAGTTTCTGTGTTGTTTCTGTACCAGCCACGAACACTCCCACTCCCACTCCCACCCCCGGCTCCATAGCACAGACCTGATACAGCCAATGCCCAGTGTACTTGCTCAGGAGGGGAGTTGAGTCCCCGTGTCTACTGCAAGGCTTCTCTTCCAGGTTGGCAACGTGGTAACTGCTCCTTGCCCTGCCCACCTGGAACCTGGGGCTTTGGTTGCAATGCCAGTTGCCAGTGTGCCAATAAAGCAGCCTGCAGCCCCCAAACTGGAACTTGTACCTGCACCGCTGGGTGGCATGGGGCCCACTGCCAGCTTCCTTGCCCGGTGAGTGCTCAATAGCCTGCCTCCCTGGGGCTGGGGAGGGCATGCTATCCCACACTGCCCTAGGGTGATTGGCCAGCACTCCCTTCCTTTTTCTCTCCAAGAAGGGACAGTTTGGTGAAGGCTGTGCCGGTCATTGTGACTGTGACCACTCCGATGGCTGTGACCCTGTTCATGGACACTGCCAGTGCCAACCTGGCTGGATGGGTGAGCATCTGGGCATTCAGATCCCAGCCCGACTGTGGAATTGGGGGACGCATCCCACAGGGAATTTGTCCAGAACCCTCAGAGGAAGGGGTGGGTCTAGGCCAGACGCGCCTACCCCTATCTCCCACAGGTATTCGCTGTCACCTGCCTTGCCCTGAGGGCTTCTGGGGAGCCAACTGTAGTAACACCTGCACATGCAAGAATGGTGGCACCTGCATTCCTGAGAATGGCAACTGCGTGTGTGCCCCTGGATTCCGGGGACCCACCTGCCAGAGGCGTGAGTTTCCCTCCCCTCCCCCTGCCTGCCAGCAGTAGGTACAGGGAAGTGTCAGCTGCCAGAAGCCCCTATTCTATCCAGTATGGTCTCTTCTGCTGACTTCAGTCTTTGTACCAGTTGAAGTGGGAAGGAGCAAGGAGATGGTGGGCTCAAGGGCTGGTGGAGGGTTGGCCTCTTTCCCAGTCACATGAGCCCTTTCCCCTAGCCTGTCAGCCTGGCCGCTACGGCAAACGCTGTGTGCCCTGCAAATGTGCCAACCACTCTTCCTGCCACCCCTCGGACGGGACCTGCTACTGCCTGGCCGGCTGGACAGGCCCCGACTGCTCCCAGCGTACGTGGTGACGCCTGTGTGTGAGTGCATGTGTATGGGGGGGGGGGGGGACGGGCTCAGGCTACTCCTGGCAGAAAAAACTCTGGACCTAGTTGTTTATATCAACACTGAAAGGAAAAGGCAGAAGGAAAGACGGACGCCGTGAGTCTGTTCACCAAAAGGAAGAAGAAGAAGAAGTGCTATTTTATTTCAGAGCTGAACTTTTATACACATTAAAGGTATCATGTCGAGTGCCCATTGGCCGGGCCACGGTCAGGCGGACAGAGAGGAGGAGGAGTCGTGGAAGAGTGTCCGAAAAGAAAAGATACAATAAGCAGGACAGAGCCAAGGACGGCCTCCTTATCAGCCGGGGCCCAGAATTGCAGAGTCAGCCAAACTGTGTCCTTCAAACACGACAATGCTCATGTCAGGCACGGGTCTGGGTACTCGGGATGCAAGGCTGAAAGGAGGGAGAGTAGCGCCACCTTCTGGTGGGAGGGTGGGAAGAGCAGCTCCTGACTGCTCTTCAGCTTGTTTTTATTTATGACTTCTTTCCCTCCCACACACGTATGTATGTATATATGTATATCTATGTAACTAATCTTTTCCATGAGGCTTTTCATACATATATATAACTAACCTTTTCCATGAGGCTTTTCATACATATATATGTATGTATGAAAAATATATATATTTTACATATTTATATATAAAATATTTATGTCTAGTTGTAGATACACAAATGTTATGTCTTAAATTTTATATATAAATATATATATTTTTTCATACATACATACATATATATGTATGAAAAAATGGAAAAGATTAGTTATATATATATATATGTATGAAAAGATTAGTTACAAACAAACCGAGCAGAACACATTTGAGATGGGGAGATGAGAAAGCTGTTAGTATGAAACACTGGCTGTCAGCTCCCAGGGAGATGGGGTAGAGGGTGGTGATCTGGTGAAGTTTTCCCATAGAATTTGGCAACATCTAGTTACCCAATCATCTAGTTTGTTTGCTAGTTGTAGATACACAAATGTTATGTCTTAAATTGTATGGACATTTTCTTTCTCTTATGTTAAAAATAAAGAAAGTCTAGATCTGAGTAGTACAGACTTAGTTAGAAGCCTCTGGCTGTCCAGGGCTGGCCACATGGCTTGGAAGTGGCCCCTGCATGGAGAAGTGCAGGTTTTAAGTAGTGCTGGGCATGCGGGCTTGGTGTTCAGGGAGAGATGGGTCACTCCCCACTCTCCACACTTGTGGGTCACTAGTGTGAAGGTTCTTAGCCTTGGTGCCCCTGTGACATCAAAATCAAGAGAGAGATTTCAGGGATGCTTGGACTAGGGGTTCATCTAGGAGTGGCTGACTTGCCTTGCCAGACAGACCCTTCTCTCCTGCAGCATGCCCTCCAGGACACTGGGGAGCCAACTGTGTCCAGCCCTGCCAGTGCCATCATGGCGGAACCTGCCACCCCCAGGATGGGAGCTGTTTCTGCCCTCCAGGCTGGACCGGACACCTGTGCTCAGAAGGTACCAAAGGAGGGCAACCCCATGACCCTGCCCCTAGCAGTCCAAGATGGAGACTGGTATCCTGGTGGTTCTGATCCCTGCCTGCCTCTTTTGTTCCCTTCCAGGCTGTGCTCTGGGGATGTTTGGTGCCAACTGCTCTCATTTGTGCCAGTGTGGTCCTGGAGAGAGGTGCCACTCAGAGACTGGGGCCTGTGTGTGTCCCCCAGGGCACAGTGGTGCACCCTGCAGGATTGGTGAGTTCTTCTGTTGAATAGTGAGGATACAGGTACCTGCCCAGGTCTTTGCTGGTATTTGGCCTCTCATGCCACTCTGCCTCCCTACTGGACTCTCTCCTGTGCATGCAACCTAGACTCTCCAGCAGAGCCAAAAGGCTGTCCTGAGTGACCACTCTACCCCACTAGGAAGCCAGGAGCCCTTCACCATGATGCCAGCCTCTCCAGTAGCCTATAACTCGCTGGGGGCAGTGATTGGCATTGCAGTGCTGGGGTCCCTGGTGGTGGCGCTAGTGGCACTGTTCATTGGCTATCGCCATTGGCAAAAAGGCAAGGAGCACCAGCACCTGGCAGTGGCTTACAGCAGTGGGCGACTGGATGGCTCCGAATACGTCATGCCAGGTGAGCTGCGTGGCAGTGGAAGACACCAGCGAGAGGCTGGCTCACAGGCCTGAGGCCAGTGCGGCACGTTGCTGGACTTGGAAAATGGGATGTGGGGTGTTGGAGGGAGGAAGAGAAGTCAGAAAGGCTGAAAACTGATGTCCTGACACAGATCAGCTGTCTTGGGTCCGGGACTGTCTCTGACCAGGCAGGTCACTCTGCACCTTTGTTGTTCATACAGATGTCCCTCCAAGCTACAGCCACTACTACTCCAACCCCAGCTATCACACCCTGTCTCAGTGCTCACCCAATCCCCCACCCCCTAACAAGGTCAGTAATGGAGCAGAGGGTGTGCTGTGGCGGATGGGTGCACAGCTACTTCTCTAGAAATCTGGAATGCTCCACCCTTGCCAGGCCTTTTCTTATTCCACCCTTCCTCTACCAGCTTCCTGGCAGTCAGCTCTTCGCCAGCCTCCAAGCCACTGAGCGGCCAGGGGGAGCTCATGGGCATGACAATCACGCCACCCTGCCTGCTGACTGGAAACACCGTCGGGATCCCCCTCCAGGGCCTCTGGACAGGGGTAAAGCCTCTGAGTGGAGCCTGCTTCCTGCTTCCTGTTGCACTGGAGTGAATGTCTGCAGATTGGGGTTTGGGCCTGGGTGTGGCGAAGGTGGGAGCCTGGGGAGGGGACCAGGGACTGACTATGTGTTGCTGCCCCCTCCTCAGGTGGCAGCCGCCTGGATCGAAGCTACAGCTGTAGCTACAGCAACAGCAATGGCCCTGGTCCATTCTACAGTAAAGGTCTGGGCACAGGGGCTGAACTGAAGCTGAGGAGGGCTGAACTGAAGCTGAGGAGCCAGTAGCTCCCCCGAGACTGACTTCTTTCATTTGTCCTCAGGGCCCATCTCTGAAGAGGGGCTGGGGGCCAGCATGGCTTCCCTTAGCAGCGAGAACCCCTATGCTACCATTCGGGACCTGCCCAGCCTGCTAGGAAATCCCCGGGAGAGCAGCTATGTGGAGATGAAAGGCCCTCCCTCAGGATCTCTTCCCAGGCAGGGTCCTCTGTTCCGGGACGGCCAGAGGCTGCGGCCACCCCAGCCACAGAGAGACAGTGGCACCTATGAGCAGCCCAGCCCTCTCACCCATGGTGAGCCCTCCCTCTCTCCTGGGGCAGGGGCTAGAGGATGCCTGGGACAGGGAGATAGAGAGAGAAGGGATAGAGGCGGCATAATGTGACCAGATTAAGGTCTTTGCGGTCAGGCATGGGTTCCAATTGGGCCTGATGTTTGAGAAGCAGCATCGCTGAAGATTTGACATTACTGTACAGCACCTCAATTTTGGATTTGGTTGGTACCCAGAAAAGTGGGGAACGAGTCAGTGGCCTCATATCCTGTGAGGTGAGCAGGTAGCGGTAGCAGCCCTACTTGCAGCTGAGGCGCTGCAAAACTGGCCTGTGTCTGCGTAAGCGTGGCACATCCGTCTGTGAGCAGAGAGGATGGAAAAGGGAAGAGTGTGGTGGGAAGGGGGGGAGGAGCCACCTCCCCTCATCCTGTCCCTTCTCTGCCTCCAGACCGAGACTCTGTGGGCTCCCAGCCCCCGCTGCCTCCAGGCCTACCCCCTGGCCATTACGATTCACCCAAGAACAGCCACATCCCTGGACACTATGACTTGCCTCCAGTGCGGCACCCGCCATCACCCCCACTCCGGCGTCAGGACCGCTGAGGAGTAAGATGCTGTGCAGATGCCAGCACACCTGTGCCTTGCTGCTCAAGGCTGGAGACAGACCCTGCTGTGCCCTGCCAGGAGCAGGGAGAGGACTGGCGGGCCGTGCTTATAAACTCATTGCACAGAGGAAGCACGTGGAGAGAAGGGAAACTGGCTGTCAGGTCCCATCCAGGAGACTGGTCAGCAGGAAGACTGCATCCCCTTTCCACAACCTACTGCTCCCTGAGGGCTCTGGGCCCTCTGTATATAAACTGGTGGGTTGAATGTTGCTGATAACTCTGACTTCAGATTGCTGTAGAAATGTACATTGGGTACCTTTTCTGTGCACTCCCAGGCTGGGCTGTGCATGTGTGTCTGTGTGGTTGGTTGGTTGGTTGGTTACAGAGGGAAACCAGGTACCAAACATTTACCAGTTAGTCAGCAACCTAGTTAACTCTCGCGATAGCTCCAGCTGTCCCGCCCCTGTATTCACTTGGCACCCCTCCAACCAACTGCTCAACATATATAAAGTGGCTGGATTGCTCCTGCCTGAGTCTTCATGAGTGCCCCACTGTTCCTGGGCTAACGTCAACACTTTCAAAGGTCTTAAAGGTGCTGCTAACTTGGCCTGTCTGTCTCTTCAGTTTCAGCTTGATTGTGTTTCCTGCCTCACCTCCCAGTGACCCAGTGGTCTCTGGGTCCTCCCATTCTTTCTACCAAGGGACTTGGCATCTCTGGTGTGCTCTTCACCCCCATACACTGCTAACTCCTGCTTGACACAGAATGGATTACAGCTATATTCACTCACCAGGGGCCTGCAGAAGAGGGACAGGGTGCGGGCATCTCTGTAGTATGTTCCTTTATATGATGATTTGATTAATCTCTGCCTCCCCCACTGGACTCTAAGTTCCCTGAAGACAGGAATCCTGTTTGTTCCTTTGTCACACAGAAGACACTCAATAAATGTTGCCCAAAAGGTTGATTAGCTGAGTGACGCTGGTTAGGTGTTCAGATGGATGGGCTGTCGGTGTGCTCTGAGAACAATAGATTGCAACCCCCAAATGATGATGTTTCTACAGCAGCACATGGGCTCAAAAGCGGGGCAGTCAGGGAACAGAGGCTGGAGGCAAAAGGCAGACAGGAGAGAGGGGAATACTGGAAGGGGGAACAGGGCCTCAGGGTCTAATTACCTCAGGATTTTTTTTTAAAGATTCGTTTTTATTTATGCATACAGAACTGGGGTACAGGCCAGAAGTGCAGGGGCCGTGAGGATTCACCAGAGTGGAGAGCAGAACAGGCTGACTGACGAAGCACACTGCAGAGGGGAGCAGCGGGAGGGTCAGGAGAGGTCTGTCACTTCTGGGGCAGCGATCAAACTCATGCTTAAGTGGCTTTAGCTTCTTAGTGCTGTGCTTTAACCTGCTGAGCCACCAGGGCGGGCCCTACCTGAGGACTTTTTTTTTTAAAAAGATTTATTTGTGCTTACAGAACTGGGGTACAGGGCAGGGGTTCAGGGGCGGCGAGAGGCTTCACCAGAGACAGAGTGGGGAGCAGAACAACAGAGTACACTGCTGAGGGGAGCAGCAGGCAAGACAGGAGGTGTCTGCTGAGCCATGTGGGTCACCTCCTGGACCGGGAATCGAACTCACACTGAGGTGTCTGCGGCTAACCTGCAGTGCAGCGTCCTAACCCGTTGAGCCACCAGGGAGGGCTAGTTACCTGAGGATTTTAAGCCCAAAACTAGGAAGCTTCACTCGCTTCACCAATTCATTAGCGGATTAACTGGGTTTACAGAGGCTAAATAGCTGGGGTGGGGAACAGAAATCTAGTGCCAGGTCAACAAGGCGAGTCTCTGGGATTTTCCATCCGGAGCATCAGCCTTTCAGGACTGGGGGGCGGGCCCGGGAGCGTGGACTGCCCTCACCCGGCCCCTCCCCTCCTAGATTCCTGCGACTGCCGCGAACTCCATTAGCTTGGGTTTCCGGAACAAATGGACAGCGGTGCGCCTGCCCTAGCCACGCCCCGACCACGCCCCACAACAGCCCCTCCCTTCCCGGGGCGTCCGCTCGCGACCCGTCACCCTGGCCCCGCCCTCCTCCCTGCTCTGCGGCGCCCTCTGTCGGCCCCGCGTGCGCGCTGCGGTTGCCTCTCCCGGCCCGCCCGCCGTGAGCGGTTGTCTTGGAGAGGGACGCGGAGGCGACGCTGCTGCGGGAGGATAGGGTGGGTAGAGACCCAGTGAACTGGCCCCACAGAGTCCCGTGTTGTCTCCGCCCCCGTGAAAGCCCCAGAAAGTAGCAGAGGACCGCACCACCATGTCGGGGGAGGCGAGCGCGCCAGGAGCTTCACCCAGGACCCAGCGTCTGGGGACCCAGAAGTCCTCTGGCACAATGAGCAAGAAGGGGGATCGCGGGACCAAGGAGAAGCCGGTGACCACTCTGCCACCGGTGGGCGAGGAGGAGCCCAAAAATCCTGGTACGCTCTGGGCGGGGCTAGGGGATCAGCCCTCGAGGCTGAGGCCACTCGTCGCTTGGGTTAGCGCGTTGGCTGCGGCGTTGTGCCAGGCACCACACGTGCAGAATGATCCAGGGGGAGACAGAGGAGCCAGGAAGTGATCGGACAACTGGAGCTAAGGAGCTGCTGTTTGGGAAGCACCGCGACTGAAGTTCAGGATGTGAATGTCAGCAAGTCTGGCATGTGGGATGAGTCGAATCAGGTGACATGATCCATGATTCTTCTCTAATGTGGACATGGAGTCCTGCCTTGCCCACTGCAGCCAGGACATGGTGTTGAAAGTGCCAAAATAGTCTGTAAACTGCAGCCACCTTTATTTATTCAACAAGCAAATATTGTACATCTACTATCTGGGAACTGCCTGCTTCTGCTTGGGTTACGAATCCCAGTTTTACTGTCAGAGCAGTTCCTGAATCTCAGTTTGGCAGATGTTTGAATTGAAGTTGATCTTAAGGAACCCACAATTTGCTGATAGATACAACACAACAAATGATAATACAAGAGATGGGATGTGATGGGAGGTGACGGGGTGCTCCAAGGAAGTGTCTTTGAGCTTTATTTTAAATTTACACCTATAAGAACTGGGATATAGACCAGAATTACAGGGAGAGAGGATTCACCAGGGACAGAGTGGGGGGCAGAACAGGCAGATTGACTGAATGCACTGTGGAGGGGAGCAGCTGGTGAGACAGGAGAGGTCAGCTGTACCATATGGGTCAGCACCCTTGTCTGGGGATCGAACTCATGCCTCAGTGGCTGGTGATAACTTGGTAGCACTGACTTTAAGCCCTGTGCCACCAGGGAAGCTTCTGAGTTGAGTTTTATAGATATTCATTAATTTATTCAACAGTTAATTTTTGGATGCCTGAGGTCTGTGGCTGAGTGCAAACACAGGGAGAATGAGATGGACACATTCCTGTCTGCAGGAATTTACATTCTCTGGGAAGAGTATAAGTAGAAGTGTAGTTCTTTATTGCAAGTGATAGAATCCCAACTAATCCCCCTAAAGGAGAATTTATTGAAAGACTTCTTGATTCAAATTCACCAGCTTTACCATCAGAGAGAGAGGCAAGAACTTGCTGTCCTTGGACTCAGTGAAAAAACAACTTGGGAAAAGCTCTGACTGTCAGATGCTGTCTCCTTGTAAGCACTAGTGGCTGGGGGGAGGGAGCTATGAGAGTTGAAGAGAGAATTTTCCAGAAGGAGAGATAAGACAGCATAGAATAGGGGTTAAGTCTCCACACAATCACTATCACTGCTGTGTCCTAAGTTTGATACCTGGGCAAAGAGCTGACCCACAGGCCCAGGAGACCTCTCCTGTCTCATCCACTGCTCTCCTCAGTAGTGGATTTCAGTAAAATCTACCTGTTCTGCTTCTCACTGTCTCTGGTGAAGCCTCTCACTCCCTGCACCTCTGGCCTATGCCCCAGTTCTTCTGAGCATAAATAAATCTTAAAAACAACAACAGTATAGAATCTACTACAGATATGAATGTAGTTACATTAAACACACACACCACTGTGGCTGCTGTCTATAAAATGGAGTGGAAAGATGTAGACTGGGAGATTACAAGTTTATTTCAACAGTCCAGGTGAAGGACGATGGTAGCTGGAAGAGGATTATCGGGGTAGATGGATAAGAATCTTTGGAGGTAAAGGTAAGAATTGGTGAAATATTGCCTGGGGCGAGGAGGGAGGAACATAGCAAGAATGATTCCCAGATTTCTGGACTGGACACTGGCCAGACTGAGGGGCCATTCGTGAAGACTGCACAGCCTGAAGAAAGAACAGGCAAGAGAGGACCCCCAGGAGGGGGATGTCAGCTGGGCAGAGAGGCACATGGATTTGGAGTGCTGTGAGAGGTAGGAAATGGAGATGCAAGTTTGGGGGGCTGTTGATATTGTGGGTATTTAATCCCTGGAAATGAAGCGAGACCCCTTTGGGAGGGAGGGAAGGAAGTGGGGGGGCCTAAGTTTTAGGAAGAGGGGAAGGCTCAGGACCCATCCACTAGACAGAGTTCACAGAGGGGCCAGGAGGAGCTAGCTGGGGAGCCTGGGCAGGAGCAGGGAAGTAGGAGACAATGGGGACCACTGCCGGAGATGGGAGATCGTGGGCCGGCACCACAGGGGTCACGGCAGCTTTAGCAGGGGCAATGTGTGGCATGGCAGGGACGGAATGGGGGCTCAAATGAGGTAGAAAGTGAAGGAAGATGTAGGAAGGGTTCTAGATTTATCGGGAGCCCATCAGTTGGCTTCTATTTTTGTAGAAACAAGGCCAGTTGTGCATGTGGGAAGGAGTGTGGGGAGGGTGGGGAGCAAGAGCAAGACCCTGTAGAACCTCACTGTTGAACAAGCAGCTCCTAGCTGCGGCATAGAGAACATTTCTGTCCTTGTGTTCTACTAGGCAGTGCTTCTCAACGTGCTTGGCCCAGCAGCTTTGGCATCACCGGGAGCATGTTAGAAATGCAAATTCATGGACTCTACCCTTCCATGGAAACAGAATCTCTAGGGATGGGGCTCAGGATTTTTGCATAGAACTGGGGTGCAGGCCAGAGGTGTGGGGGGGGGGAGCCTAGAGGACTCACCAGAGACAGAGTGGGGAACTGAACAGGCAGATCTACTGAAATATACTGCTGAGGGGAGCAGCGGGCGGGTCAGGAGAGGCCTGCTGAGCCAGTTGATACCTGGCCGGGTATCAAACTCGTGCAGCAGTGGCTGTGGAGAGCTTCATAGTGCTTCACTTTAACCCCTTGTAACACTAGGGAGGCCCCCCAAGAAAAGATATTTCTAATAAAAGTTTCCAAGCACAATGTGCAAAATTATCCTTTTCCTTCCAGCTAAATCCCCAGCCAAACAGGGTCAGCCCAAAAGCTTGCCACACTTCTAAGTACCTTCTGGTGGTGAGCAGCAAGGGAAGGATAGGCAGGACACAGAAAGCTAGAACAAAAGATACCACATCAAAATAATGGCTGCCATTGTTGGCCTCCACACTTGTCTCTCACCCACAGCTCTGCCAAGTGTCTACATATCTCTCCTCCAAGTCCCCCCACGTCCCTGGCTGTAAATCCAAGCCAGAGTAGAGGCTGCCCTTAAGTGCACCTGCTTTCTGTGTTACATCGCTTACTAAGCCCCTGAGCCCTCCGTAGTTAGCTAACAAGGCTTCTGCGTGCAGATGGGCTGGGGGTAGGGGAAATGGTACCCCCTCTGAAATGGGAGCACCCGGCTGCCTGGCCCTTGGAGGTACATCTGCCTTCACTGCTTCTCCCACATGGCAGGGCCAACTCATCTCCAGGAACCGCCTTTTTTGAAAGAAGTGGTGTCCCTAGGGTCATCTCAGATTTGCAGAGGCCTCTGTATGGGGTGTGCTGATGCATGTCTGTATTCATGTAATACATACACATCAGTGCATACACGAATATGTATAGGTACATATGAGTATATATTTGCTTTTGCGTTTTAAAACTTATTTCTTCCTAAATTTTAAATCCCCCCCAACCAACCTTATAGGCGTTTATTTCTCCTCCCCCTTTAATATTTCTAAAATGACCACAGGTCTGCGCTGTGTAACGGCTAGCTACGGAAATAGCTACTGAAAAGCCTGCCCTCTGCTGGAGCTCAGCGTGTGTGTGTGTGTGTGTGTGTGTGTGTGTGTGTGTGTGTGTGCGTGTCCGTGTGCGCGCGCGCGTGTGTCTGGGGTGAGAGTGGAGGGGGCACCTTGGGCTCCTGTTGCATGCTGGCAGTTCCAGCAGGAAAGTGAAGAGGCCTGGCTGACGACACCTTGGGGGAGGCGAAGGTGCCCCCTCTCACTGCTCTCCTCCCCCCCC